GAGAACGTTTGTCTTTGGCAAGTAGATCTGGTTCACTGGATCAACACTGTCCACTGGTTGGTGAACCCCGCTTGGGTTCAGAACGTGAGTTACAATCTCTGATCATTCTATGATGACGTTGGTCTCAGTACGACTGTTGCAAAATGAGCTTTTAGAAGTGAGGGAATTCTGGTGAATTCCGCTGCTGAATTTCAGCATATCCTTTCGACATGCATGGGATCTTATGGGTTTAAAAATTAAGGTAGGAGGCGTGATGTGGATTCCTCATTTTGGAAGCTCATACAATAATTTTTAGTCAGTACCTAGATGATCCCAATGCAAAGCACGTTGAAGCTCAGTAACAGCGCATTAGCAACTCGAACTGGCCTTCCGAGTCAGTACATGGAAGTGATCCAATGCGAGTGTACCATTCGAGTCAGCATCCAGCAAGTTTTCATCGGATTTTTCCCTGCTATTTTAGGACACTATTTTATGCCAAAGTCACGCAAGAGAACCGGATTTTTGCCAGTTGCACTTTTCTATAAAAATCACATCCAAGTCGTCGGCGTTACAGGCAATAACGTCATTCTGATTGCAGTTGAAGCTGAAAACTGTCGCTCGTGACGCGATCACCATTCGATCAACTGTTTCGATGGCTCCCAGTTGGCACCAACCGATCCGATAGCTCACAATGATCAGCTCACTTGCCAATTCCTCGTCCAGCACGCAAGACTTCAAACACCTCGACTACAATGGCCCCGACTCCATACAGCATTTCAGCCGAACCTGTCCTGACGTGTGAACCTGTGCTGGCGTGTGAACCCGTGCTGGCGAGCGACTCAGTGCTGGTGAGCGACCCTGTGTTGGAATGTGACCCTGTTCCGCCACAGAACCTTTCGCTCGTGCTCGAAAAGGGAGGCGCAGTCAAGTTCGAAGATCGTCCCGTGCCTGAGATCGAGGACCCACACGACGTGATCGTGAACGTCCGCTACACGGGAATCTGTGGCAGTGACGTGCACTACTGCACACACGGCTGTATCGGCAAGTATGTGGTGGACAAGCCCATGGTTCTAGGCCACGAGTCAGCTGGTGTCGTGCACGCCGTGGGATCCGCCGTCAAGTCTCTCAAGGTGGGCGACCAAGTGGCCATGGAACCGGGAGTGCCATGCCGCCGGTGCCGCCGCTGCCTCGAGGGGAACTACAACTTGTGTCCGGACATGGCGTTCGCGGCCACGCCCCCGTACGACGGCACGCTGGCCAAGTTCTACCGTATGCCCGAAGATTTCTGCTACAAACTGCCGTCCAATGTCAGTATGCAAGAAGGAGCGATGCTCGAACCCACGGCTGTGGCCGTACACTTCTGCCGTCTGGCCAAGGTGTCACCGGGCCATAAAGTCGTGGTGTTTGGTGTCGGCCCCGTGGGTCTGTTGACCTGCAAAGTGGCTCGGTACGTGTTCGGAGCCACGACAGTCGTCGGCGTGGACGTCAATGAGAAACGTCTCGCGGTGGCCAAGGAGCACGGCGCGACGCACGTGTATCTTGGAAAGTCGGGTGTGACGCCTCAAGAATCGGCCGAGCAGATCATTGCCGAGTGCGGACTGGGCGACGGTGCCGATATCGTGATCGACGCGAGTGGAGCGGAGCCCTGCATCCAGACAGCCGTCTACGTCGCACGCAACGGTGGCACGTTCACACAGGGAGGCATGGGCAAGACCGACATCATGTTCCCTATTGGCATCATGTGCGGCAAGGAGCTACACGTGACCGGCAGCTTCCGGTACTCTGCAGGCGACTACCAGCTTGCACTCGACATGATTGCTAGTGGGCGGCTGAGCGTTAAGGAGCTGATCTCGGAGACCGTGCCGTTCGAGGAAGCCAAGGAGGCTTTCGAGAATGTCAAGCGTGGCAACGGCATCAAGTGGCTTATTGAAGGGCCTAGGAACTGATGAGAGAATGTTTCGTCCCTGAAAGATGGTTTAGTGACAGAGGTTGGGCATTGTGAAGCAAATTTTGTTGCTGTAATTCATTCTGTTGTGGCTGTTGCTTCTTCAATCTCGGCAGACTGCAGTGATTGACCATGAGCTGGGCAGAATGCCCATAAATGATCACCCTTCTTTTGTCTTCGTTTTATGAAAATGAAGATTGAAAATGAAGCCCGACTTTCTTCTTTTTGGTCTTATCATATAAGCATCCTGAAACGTCTTACTTGGTATTCTGAAAGCCTCTAATAGAGGCTTTCACCGATGAGCGCAAAAAAGCGGTATAAAAGTTCGCAAGACGAAACTTGTTGTCG